ATCATTTCCCTCAAAAAAATTGTTTTGGTACTAAATATTGAGGAGGTGTKTCTTCACTCAATCCTATTTCTGTGAACAACACAATATGAGGAAAATTCAAGTTAGTCTCAGGCAATGCTGGTTTTTGCACTTGCACGTTTATCATACCTGTGTTTGAGGGACTTGAGTGAGGGTTTCATGAAGGGATGATAGTTCTTGSGTGCTTAGYGTGGCTTGTACTAAATCCACAACCTGAAAATGAAACAATTTCCATGTTGAGAACAAAAAWTTCTGGTAAGCTATTGGGTGGATCCGAGAATAGTAAAGGAAGATAGCAAGCAAACTAATGTCATGACAACTGGGTTACAGACAACATTGTTATAAAATTGGATGGCACATTACAATGGCACTRYAAGCATAGCACTGCGCCTGTACAACACAGGACAGCATAGCACAGGACAGCATGTCTCACAACACAGATTCGAGCACAGCATGCAGCAAGATAGATAGGGATGGCACAACATAGCACAGGACAGCATTGCATGGCACAGGACAGCATGTTGTCTCACAACACAGAGAAGGCACAACATGCAGCACCATAGCACAGGAGAGTATGGCACAGGAGAGCATGGCACAGGAGAGCATGGCACAGGAGAGCATGGCACAGAAGAGCATGGCATGGCACTGGAAGTACAGCTTGACGCCAAACCATAACTCTAAATTGCACAGCACAGCACAGCACAATAGACAATCAAACAACAGAGCACAGCATATCAATACTCTGTTATAATGGAAGCTAATTCCTTACTGCATCATGGTAGGTATTGATTCTCTTAGAGTAATGAACAATCTTCTGCAGCATTTTATGATGAGGAGCCAGCATACTGGAAACACACTGGGGTGCCTGTAAACAGAAAAATCAATAAGCATAATATTATTATTTATGCAAGGTAGACTAAAACTAAAAGCTTGTGGGGCCGTTTATCCTCTATAGACCCCTTGCAACACGCTGGAATGCACTCAATTTGGAGGACATAACTAGGTTTCTAAATCTCAGAAAATTGAAACTATTTTGTTTTCTCCAAATTGAGCTGCTTTGATGTCACATGCAAGTGGTCTATGCTCCTTACTACACTTGAATATTCTATAAACACAATTCTCAATCCAGTTGTTTTTACAGAGGGAGGATAAACAGAGAACCTGCAGAAAACGCCTCGTAGCAAAGGAGAACACCATTCAAACAAACTCAACTCACATACTATTGGACAGGACTCAAACATGGGCCATAAGCCTTGTATTGGTTAGAGGATAACACCTTGGCAGCTGTACACTACTTATACTACCCATAACAATTGTATAAACATCGAAAATATTTATACATTTCGTCACGAGACCCCTTTAACTTAAAAACAAGATGCTATTTTCCAGGAACACRTGCATACCTCAGAAGCTAGGGAAATAATGTCTTTGAGGAATCCTATTGCTACAGTGAAATACTGATGGTGTACGTTGGTTTCTACATTTTGTTGTACATTGCTCTCATCATCCTGAGATTGTTGTCGTGAACCTAAAACCAAATTCAATGTAAAACATTTACTGCTGTTTGCATTGTTATGCACTGATAGAGACAACAATAGTCCCCTTCACGGTTCCCTGYGCCATCTCGAAAGGTAGCCGTGCCTTTGAATCGAAGTGAGACGAACGGTGAGCTTGCAATGATAGAGACCTTTTTTAACACCTTGGACAATTATTCAGAGGTCTGTATCACTGCAAGCTCACCGTTCGTCTCGCTTCGATACAAAGGCATGGCTACCTTTCAAGATGGTGCAGGGAACTGTGAAGGAGACTATTGCCACAGRTTATTAACAATTACACCCTCAGAGTATAAAAGGTCTACGAATCAATAGTGAATGGTGTTAGATAGTAATTATTACATTGATAGCTTTTTGTACTGTTTATTAAAAACTTAAGTCGCTAGCCACCTCAGTCAAGAAACAAAATGATATCGTCTGGCTCTATCAGCAGCATTCTCACCATGATAATTCTGTTTTTGATTTTTTTCAGCTTTTGGCAGTTCATGATTGTTTGAGTCTAATGAAGAACTTGATTCAAGATCTCCAGCATTATCACCATCACTTGGCTTTGACATCTTCTCTTCACTAGAAGWAGTATTTTCAGAGGGATGGTGACTGGAATTTTTGTCTTYGGAAAAAGAAACTCTTGATCTCTTGCGATGAATCTTACATGAGTAGCCCAAAAGACCCATTAAAATCTTCATGATGTGAGGATCTAGGTTGAACATTTAACCAAAAAATATACACAAATTAGTATTAATCAAGCATACTAACCTAAGTAAAACCTAACCTCATAATAACCAGAGATGGGAAAAAAGTTTTTAACCAAAAATTGTTTTCATTGAACCCTGAACCTCTGGCTGATGTAAGTCAAGGAAAGGCTAACTCATAGATTGTATCCTGAAATGACCTCTGGACTGATCAAAGTCAGGGCATGGCTAACTCACAGATTGAATCCTGAAAATATCTCTGGGGTGATATAAGTCTGGGCATGTCTAACTCAAAGATCGAACAATGAAAAAAAACTCTGTGCTTACTGATGCAGTATGGTGATTGAAAAGCATGTTACAAGTGTACAAAAGCTAACCTTTCTCCATGGCTGTCAGAACATTCAATGGCTCCGCCAGCAAAATAACATTGAGAACTGAAAATGAAGCTATTAATGACATTTCTCTCCCAACAATAATGCCTCCTTCATCATGGCCACATTCACCAATAAAGTGACAGAGTAGTGGTACGACAGCAGAACACGATACTAGAAAAACAATCAAATGAAAAATACTAAGATACTTTAACAGGGATTAAGATCAGGGTTCGTGCTGAGGTAACCACTTAAAATTCAAGGACTATTCAAGGAGTACACAAGGACCCAAAAATGAATTTTCAAGGAGTATGTTCTGCTAACTATGCCAAGGTTTTACACAGTCGACTTTCAGATTTTCTAACCATGCAAGTAATGATCGAAGCAAAAATTCAAGGAGTTTTCAAGGAGTTTCACTAAAATCGTAAAATTCAAGAGCTTTTCAAATGCCCTTTAAAACGTGAATTAAATTCAAGGAGTTTTCAAGGAGTTTAAGGAGTAGCACGAACCCTGTAAGATCATTGCCAGTCAGTTGCTGGTCATTATGACCAGCCAAATTAGTTTTAGCCTCACTTCTGGTTCAACAKTACTGGTCAAAATGACCAGCAAAGCAAAGATTTAACAGAACAAGTTTCAATTCTGGTTGGACATTGTCTGATGTCTGGCCATTATTTTAAAACCTGTTTTCTGGTTGTAAATGAAAGTTTGTGCAGTTATTTATTGATGTACTCTTATGATACCTAAAGCTTGCACTCCGTCTTCAAGAGTTGAAACAAGCTGAAGAATGTGAAGCAGTGCTTCAACGACTTTAATATCAACAAACCTGAAACACACAAAAAATATATTATTTAAATGTAAATAGGTGATATAGGCAGGGGCAGATCCAGGATTTTTTCAAASGGGGGGTTGTAGCATTGATTGGGGTGGTGGAGGTCCTTGTTTGGCGGGGAAATTTCCCGCCAAGGTACTTGTTTGGCAGGAAAGTAGCACAGGGTTCCCAAACGGAAGTAGGTCTTATGATAATGCTTATTTGCTGCAGGCGAGCATGGTTGTTTCAGGTCCCACACACGACGTATTRAAAAGAAAGCAAGCGAATTGGTTCAGCACCCCTGTTTTAATAGAACTCTGCTGTTGGTGTTGTCATGAAAAAATAATAATAAAAATAAATCACGATGGCTCTCATAGGGGAGTTGCAACCCCAAAAAAACATCCCTAGATCTACCACTGGATAGGGAAGTACCTGTTGATCTATCATGCCACAGAYATTACTCRCAGATCAAACCCTAAAACAACCTCTAGTCCCACAGTCATATTTATCTGATTGTTAAATCGTTTTCCAGAGTACTTACTTGATTTGCTTCAATGCTTCACACACAGCTTTTACCAGATCAATATTAGCCCAGACTTGCAATATGTCGTCACTAGAATCCAAGACTTTATCCACCAAATGAGAACAGTTTGTCAACAAATCAACTGAAAACCAAGTTTCACAATTAACCAGGTTCAATTTTTCCAAACTATTTTTACCATTACTTAGGACAATAGCTAGTAAAGGGGAGTCATCTCCCTCTACTGTATATGTTAGCGCTTAGGAAGTAAACTTCTGGAAGATACATTATGAACCATTCTGRTTGTGTATCATGCTGGATTGTTGCTGCAATTTTGTTTCCCTGCTAGCAGAGTCTCTCTTCTCTTTCTCTCCCTTCTTTCAGGCGGGGAGGAAGGAGACTCTGCCAATGTAGAGCGTTTCCTTTGATACACCGCCGTCCACAATCGTGGACGAACAAAACCAGTTTTAAAAACAGTTTTTAGCCGATTACATGTAGTGCGCATGATCAAATGTATCACACCTTGGCGCCAAACACTGTTTGACGAGAGTGGCTGTCAAAATCATGGCAGTGTTGCTAAGTTACGCCACGCATGCGCGACAGAAATAACGTCCTACATCGGCAGAGTCTATTTTTCTCTCTCAACCAAAACAAAAGGAAAATATGCTCTGCTAGCAGGGAACAATTTTGTCRTCCAAATCCATAATTTGCAAAAAAGAAAATCTTTTTGGATAACACGTAAAATGGCATACCATTTAGAGAGTTCTCTAGTATGAAGTTGAAGTTCTTGAAAGAKGATAATTTCTGTATTGCATCAATCCACTGTTGTTTTGCTTGATCATTGCTTACACASACATGCATTAACCTTGAGACAACAAAGATCTATTACTATAGAAATGATGACGGCCTTCAAATCTGCACTTTTACTGAGCACAACTACAATATCTTTAAAACATAATAAACTAAAAGATAAATTAATCAACTCCTAAAGGCGCGAAGACATGGAGCAATTTTCTCTGCAACTTGTGTTGCAATGCATAAAGCATTGTGGCATGCAACCAACAGCACGATTTGAAAAATGTTGCAAGACAAGTTCCAGCAATCGTTGTGAAAAGTAGAATTCCTTTCTACTTTTGGCAATAATTGCGTATCCTTTGCACTGTGTTGACACTCTTGCAACTTGTGTYACAACACTGTTGTGAGACAAATTGCAGAGAAAATTCCTCTGTTCAATCAAGCCTTAAATTGATTCTAATGATAAATGAAAAAAAAGGCCATAGGTTTGTTAGCCACTGGCTATTATGGTAAGTGCAACCCTTGTAAAAAGGATGTGAACAAGAAAGATTTATTCATTTATTTACTTGACTATTTACCCATGGGTGGCCACTTAATAAAAGTTCTACTGGTTATTTTGTCATATAATATTTTCTAGTTTTCAAACCTTGTTGTTTCCACTAGTATTGGAGTGTCAGGGTCATCCAAGAATGCTATAATCATATTACTAAAGAAAGAAATAAAGGAACCTATAGAAATTAGCTCATGAACGTCAATTATCACCATTAGATAATGGTATAATGACTGCTAAACAATTAGGCCCATATGCAGGTAATAAGCTCATGTTCTAGACGAATACAATTCATATATTGTATAGTAGTGTATTGTTTTATATTGCATGCATTGTATTCTCTTCTATTGTCCYTCTATTGTTTCTAGAACATGAACGTACTACCCATATACAGTAAAATAATATGATATATACCAAATCGGAAAAAAAAAACGGTTGTTTTGAAAAGGTACAATAATTATCAAAGTTAAGACCAAAGGGAGTTAAAAGCTTTTTTATTTTATTTTCGTTACTGCAATTTTCGTAAATATGCAAACTCYGTGTCTGCRTGCTGCACRCTGAAATATGGTTCACTGCTATCAATCGAACCTAATCAGTACAATCAGTACTGGTACCTTTCATATTTTTAACTGGCGGCAGCAAAAAACAAATTTCAGCGTGCTGCTTGCAGACACAGAGTTTGCATGTTTATGAACATTGCAGTAATACAGTACTTACACTAGGTCATTGTTTTTCATCATTTCTATACAGACATCATCATTGCAAGCCATATTTCCCAGAATACCAATACAAATTTCCTTAAAGATTGAAAATAATAAGATTTCAGGCAAATTCATAATAACATTCTTAATAATAATTATCCATCTCTTCTAAATAGAGGATTTAAAATTGGAACATTATTGAATTGTGCCATAATAAAAATAAGCATTAATGGGTTTCATGCATTGAGATGTAAAATAACATTTTGGACTTGTGATATAAAAGTACTGTATACATGTAACATACTGTTAGTCTGTTCCTTCTTGATTTTAAAATAGCATTCAGCAAAACATCTATGGCATCTACGTCTTTCAAGAATGCAGCCACATCCTGGAACAAGGAAGAGTGTATTTATTCTTCCTCCCTGAAAGGGTAGTGAAGATTATACCACTTCCCACCCCTGTGCAGYGCATGGTAGAGCATTACTGAATGCTAGAATCCCTTAATACTCTTGACTCTGCAAATTTTTCTTGTTAATGATCGTTAATTACCTCTTCCATCACTAAAGGCTCGCTGAAATACACCGTGACTCGTAAAAATACACAGCCGTATATGATGCTTAGCCCACCAATAACCTCTATTGATTATGACATTGATTATAATGGTGTTACTAACATGACAACAATGATCAATGATGACAGTAAATATAACCAAAGCAGCTTTACACAATCTCACTTATTTCATCAGCATCAATTCAAAATAAATATAAAGGTCAACATTAATCAAATATCGACTAGTTATTGATTTACTGATCAATCATTTGCATRCTTCTGACCATTTCTGTACTAATCAGTCAAAATATAAAAATATTTAATGTTAATTTTAGAAAAAGAAGCGTAAGCATTTGTTTGAATCATGAAAGAATGTCAGACAAGCGTGTAATCAATATCGATCTTCATGCACATCATATACATTACACATTACACATGGTCAGAATTAACGTAAACTTAGTGGCAAGTGATCGTAAAGGCTATTCATCAATMAAATGCACAATTATAGAAGAAAGATGAACATCTATTTACCTTATTCATAGACATATCCCATAACTCGCACAATTCGCTGTCAAATTCTTCATCAATATTTGTGTTTTCTTGGTCAACTTCAGCAGATCTTTCACCACCATTAGCTTCTTCGCCTTCTTGCTCGGGTTTGTCATCGTTTATCTTCTCAACCAGCTTCATTAGTGTTTTAAGGACCCATTTCTTGCTGAAGACAGTACCACCAATATTATCACTTTCGATCAACTCTTTTTCTTCTGCAGAAAATCTTGGAGGCGAAGGATTTCTTCCTTCCATCTTTACAAACAAAACGTGTTTTGGTAAACTCGGCGAATCCTCGTAAGATGTTCGGAAACCCGGAGCTCACCGAGTGTAACCGAAAGCTTTCGTTACTTACCCGGAAAACWAATATGGCTGACTCTTTGTCAAGTAAAGAAAAAGATTTTGCTTCAAAAGATGCAGAAAATTCACTTAAAAGAAAACGAGAACCGGACCAAGAGGGTGAAACTCCTTCGATTAAGAAGGAGCTAGAAGGAATGGAGTCTCCGCCGGCGAAAATTGCRGCTAAAACCGCTGATATTTCGAGTTCTGCACAAATTACAACAGAAAGAAGAACGAGCAGTGATAACAAGAGCAAAGGTACTGAATTATCTACCCCGAGCACAAGTGAAAACCCACCACAGAAACAAGAGACGGATGGACAAGGGAATGAAAAAGATGGTGGAGTAGAAAAAATGCAGTATGTAATGAGATGATCTTTAAGAATTTTAAGTTTACTAAACCTTACCTATTGTTAGAATTTATGCTTGACTTTGGTTTTTGATATTCAGACTGTTAGTGTCGTCTTTCTCAGAGGAACAACTTAACAGATATGAGATGTACAGGAGAGCTGCCTTTCCTAAAGCTGCTATTAAGAGGGTATGTAAAGATCTGGTGAGAATTGTTAATCTAATGTTTAGTATATTAGAAGACCTAAAAGATGAAGAGACAGCTAGAGACAAAAAGAAGAAAGATGGATGGGTGAGATGGATGGGTGAGATGGATGGGTGAGATGGATTGAAGGATGGATAGATGAATTGCAAATGGAATAAGGAAGAGAGGAATAGAGGGAGGGAGGGAGAAGGTAAGGAGATATGGATGGAGGACATATAAGGATAGATAAGATGGATGGATAGATGGATTGTTATATGAAGCAAGAGAGGGAGAGATAGAGGGTGGGCGGGAGAGAGAAAGGAAGGAAAAAAGGAACAGATAAAAGGAGGGATGGCAGATAGCAGTGTTCAAAATAACAGCTGTACAGTGCACAAGGTCTTGCCAAAATTGTTGACCTCTTGTAAGAGAGTCGATGAATAGATATGTAAATACATATAGATAGATAAATTAATTCTAGCTTTTGTGAATAATTTGCATTTTTATTTCTGACAAGTTGATGCAGAGTGTTACTGGAGGTTCATCCATTCCTCCCAATGTTGTTATTGCTATGGCTGGAATTGCTAAAGTATTTGTTGGAGAAGTTGTTGAAGAAGGCAAGTAAAAATATATAGAAAGTTGCCTTTTGGGCTGATTAACATTAGGGCATGGGTATAACTCACAGATCAAACCCTGAAACAACCTCTGAGCTGATCTAAGTCAGGGCATGGCTAACTCACAGATTGAACCCTGAAACAACCTCTGGGCTGATCTAAGTCAGGGCACGGCTAACTCACAGATTGATCTCTGAAACAACCTCGAACCCTTGATAGTCTTGAAGTTGGGCATTTTAGTAATTTCATTGTCTAAACCTGCAAGATTTAACTTGGAATCAAACATTATTGTAATTTTTCCTTTGACCCTTGATCTATTTTTAGCTTGTGACACAAAGGAACAATGGGGAAATAAAGGGCCACTRCAACCCAAACATCTGAGAGAAGCTGTAAGAAGAATGAAGAAGAAAGGTTTAGTGCCGAGCATAAGATATAAAAAACAATTACTACACAGATAGATGATACCTGCTACCATTGAGGTATTCAGTTGTATGGTAATTTGGGCTCCCTGTGGAAAAGAWGTTGAGGTGTTTGGGTACCCTGTGGTAGAGTCTATTTTGAGTCTGATACAAGATATGGTTATCCTGTGCTATAAGATTCCAGAACATGATTTGGGTGTTCTGTACTAGAGCTGTATGGATAGGTATGGGTACCCTGTGCTATAAGATTCCAGAACATGATTTGGGTATTCTGTACTAGAGCTGTATGGATGGCTTGAACACTCAAGAGCCTATATCATGGTATACAGCGAGAGAAAGCATTTTTCGGCACCCTGTAGTGYATAAAAACTATTTTGGATACCAAATAATGAGTACTCGGCAGACTCGGCATATCTAATATGCTCGTAAGAACTAAGTAACAGTCAAAATCAATCTCCATTCTTTGTTTTACTCTAGAGAGTTTTACCCTGTAGTGAGAAAATATTGCAGGTCTTCCTGGAAATGGTAATGTGTGATTTTGACTYGGTGGTCAACATAAGAGAATTACGCCTTCTTGGTGACTTGCTATTTTCTAAAGGTGGTTTGTTTCAGTTCTGAACATATTTGTGCTAAAACGTGACACTTTCTTTCACTGATATTTCAACTTGAACACTGCTGGACTTTAGACGTTTTTTATTATTTCCACACATATTTACATCAATAAATGAATAATATAAATCAGCTTGGGGACCATTCGTTATTTATCGCCTGGCCTGGGGAAGGGAGTTGGAGGATTTTTATTGCAACATGAGAAAAATGAACTCATCCACCAACAGCACCATCCTTTTTATGTTCACCCCTACRTAGTGGTTGCTACCTTCTCATCTTTGTGTGGCATCCATACCCCCTCCCCCCCAGTGATAGCTACCAATATATACCTGATCCTCCTTCAGTTTCACCAACCCCCCACCCCCCCC